TATTTCTCAAAAGCGTGTTTTCTTGAATCAATTCATTTTTATCAGCATTTAAAGCACAAATCTGTTGTTGCAATTCGTAAATTCTTATTTGCATCTGAGCATTCTCAACTAAAACTATCTCCCCACCAGTTATGCGAGGTTCCATTTTGTTAAAAGTTATTTCTTTTTAACTAATTCTTCAAGATCTCAATTTATTTTTATACCCTATTTCAAAAGAATAAATGTGGAGCGAAACAAAAAAAGAACCTCACAAATTTGATATTTGTTCCAAGACTGATTAGACTTTTCTTTGTGCAATTTTTTCATGGCTTAAAAGGTGAGAGAGCTCCAAACTGTGTTTTGTTTAAGAATTCGCTTCTTTTACTTGATACTAACTCTCACTTCCCACCTGGTGATTTATTACCCTTGTATTAATTCAACTTCCGTTGAATGACCACAAGATGTCAAATCTCACGTAAACGTCGCAATATTATTTATTAATAAATTTTTATTTTTAATAAACTAAATAATAAAAAAACTTTGAGGATTGTATCTCGTAAACGTCGCAGGCTTTAGTCAAGATGGCGTACGAGGACAATCTTCAAAGTTTCTGATTTAAAAAAAGAAAAACAAATAAAAACCCACTTGTGGGCTATTCAACACGGAAGTTGAATTAATACAAGGGTAATAAATCACCGGGTGGGAATAAGTTTTGTTTGAGACGTTTACTACAACGATTCGAAACAAGACTGGGATCGAGCCGTATCATCGATTCGGGAATTTCGTATCAACGTAAGAACAAATCAAACATTATTTGAAGGAAAATGTGAAGTTTCTGTAATTTTAAACGATAGTAAAATTCAAATTTGGACAGACAGATCATCATTTAATAATGGTACAACAAGAGCTCAGGCAGGTTAGAAAACTAAAAAAACTTATTGACAGTAGAATAGGATCAGTTAAATTAACCCATGTTCGAGGTCATAAAGGTAATTATAGTAATGAACAAGCAGACAAATTATCTAAAATAGGTTCTTTAAAGGATGAGATTATTGAAAAAGATGAGAAAGTTAGGGTTCTGAAATAGATTTTCGAAATATGAATTGGAAAATCGAATTTGATCGATTTTTACTTTAGATAATTTTATTATTTATTTTTATTATTATTATTATTTTATCTTTTTATATAAAATAAATATATTTTATCATTAAATAAATATTATGATTTAAAAAAAAAGTTCAAAAATGAGATCTCGATTAGAAACAATTCGACTTGTTGAATTGTTTATCATCGAATCGAGGTGTTCGAACTTTTTTTTATTTGTTCTAATACAGAACTGATGAATTTAGAGGAAAGAAGGGAAGGAGATTAGAAAACCACATTTAACAATAATTTTATGCGTTTGTTACAACGATTTGCGATGAGACTGGGATCGAGTCGTATTATCAATTCATAACACAGAATATGAATCATCGATACGTGTTCGTGAATCAACGTAAGAACAAATAAAATTTTTTAAGTTTCCTAATCAGTTGTAAACCGATTAGATATTTTGTTAGAGAAAGATATTAAATTTGTTTCTGAGATATGACAAAAATGAGATATTGATTAGAAACAATTACAACTTGCTTGTAATTGTTTATCATCAAAATCGAGGCGTTTGTTATATCAAAGAAACAACTGATGAAAAAATAAAGTTGGTTCTTCTCTGATAAATGAAAAAGCGCAGAGCATCATCCAAGATTAAGAATAAAGAGGGGTATATCACAATTTTTCAGGCTGGAACCTGAAAAATTGTTACTTTAATCAGTTTAAAACCGATTAGATTTTTCTTTATTTAATTTTGCTGTTTTAAAGCTACAAGCCCCCATGGTGCTTGAATGGGGTGGGTGAGGCTAAGTGTCTATCTGCACGAACCCACAGTAGGGAAAAACTACCAAAACTAGATGCGATTGCCGATTTGTGCTGGGCAAAATTTGGCTAAAAGTCGGATTTTTGTCAATCGATGCGGCCCAGGCGAATCGCATCACATTTATTTTCTTATCCCATAATATATTTATCACAATTTCTAATTTGGAACATATAAAATTCTATTCTAATTTTTTATATTAATCTTAATCTGTATTTTTACCGATATAATTAAAGTTTAAATTCCTAATCAATACAATTACTGTTAAAGTAATTTACCTTATCTTCATGAATTTCCAAATCAGACATTCCAAATTTGGCAATAAAAAATGAAAAAGTTGGTTTGTCAATCCTAAATTAAAATTAAAATATCGCAATATATTAAATATATACACATATAAAATCTAATTTAAAAATTAAATAAACAATACTCTAAATTTAAACTATTAAATATACGCATATATAAAATCTAATTTAAAAATTAAATAAACAATATATTGTAATATAAAATTCTACTCTAAATTTAAACTATTAAATA